ATAGCCCTGTTTGAAAAAGAGATTGCTTTCCGCCAGCGTACGTTCTATCATTTTCGGTTTGTGTCATTCACCACGTGCTACTATGTAACGATTACATTAATGAAAACTAACAGGCAATAATGGCAAGGAAAGTGTAGGTAATATTTTTCGTAATTAAAATATAAATGTGAAGCAAGAAGGTAAAGTGGACGAACAGATAACTTTGCCGCTGGCAGAGACCGATCCTACAACCCTCGAATGAAGCGTCACTCGAAGGTTGCAGGTTCGCTCCCTATACCGTTGGCAAGTTCTCATTTCGTCCGCTAACCTTTTTTTTCCCTTCATGTTACAGTTGCTACAAATAACGTCCCTTATACTTTCCTTAGCCTTATTGCTTATTAGTTATTGTGTCTAACAAAGAAAAACGAGCCCTTAAAATTTCCCTTTTTTCCTTTACCATGCGTTTGTTGCCAGTTCGGTGCTCTCCTCTGCTCCCACGCTCTTTCCGCAAATTATCAAGATAGATACCGAACTGCAAGTCCACAACATGAAAACATTCGTTCGAGGAGTGACAGTGGTGGTGGCTGCGTATTTGATATCGTGCTGGCGGCGTGACACCCTTTAAATGTTCCCACAAAAGCCCGCCTGCACGTACGCAAGCGAAGAGGTGGACTGTGAACAATTGTTTATTTTCAATCTCTGCACGTTGTGACTCCACAAACGACCGAGTTAACAAAAAGGCGACAAGGTGACCACCAGGGGAAGAACAAGAGAAGCGACAGGAGCGAAAATGTTCGCACAGGGGACTTGGCTTAGTAGGGAGGCTTGAAGAAGTCAGGTTCTCTTTTGGAACATCGCTTATCGTCCGGCAGGCTTCACTTGTCCACATACAGCACATTGAGAAGACGAGATACAACCAACAACGTCCTTACGTATATGCACAGAGACACCGCGTGAGCATTCGCACCATTTTTCAACACTGCACGAACTCGGCATTACACGGCCCCAAAAACTCATGTTCGAGACTTCCATACAGTTCACCGGCTATATACAATGCTGGTTTCGTCAGGTCTTAGTCGATAAATAATAATTTTAGGAGGTTGACGTTCCGAAACCACGATGTGAAGTCACGAGCTACGATGGCTCAAGTTTCGAAGCATTGAGCTCAGTCGGTCCTCGGGAGAGAAGACACCTGCATGGACGCCGAGGGACAATTACTTTATGTTTGACACGACTCAATCATGCAGCTCAGTCTACTATACTTTATAGAATCCATACAGCGCATCACTGTCGATTTGCTAGCGTACTAAGCTTGTGCCGGTTACGTCAACCAGCTGAACAGCGGTTTGTATTGGCCTCGAGGACTTACCGTGGCGCCACCTACGTGTTGACGTCACTCATAGGATGCTGGGTTGAGTTGGTCTGCTAGAACATCGCATTTACTGCGCTTTTACTGTGGACACCGTGTGTGCTTCCCTTTGTTTTGAAGCTGAGTGCTTAAAGAAGCGGTAAGACCTGATAATACTGGCAACCAAACTACGAATCCGTGCCCCCTGATGGCACTCTTGTGTCTAATTTGCATCGTGAAATCCTGACTAATTGATTAATTTTTGGGGTTTAACGTCCCAAAACCACTATATGATTATGAGAGACGCCGTAGTGGAGGGCTCCGGAAATTTTGACCACCTGGGGTTCTTTAACGTGCACCCAAATCTGAGCACACAGGCCTACGACGTTTCCGCCTCCATCGGAAATGTAGCCGCCGCAGCCGGGATTTGAACCCGCGACCTGCGGGTCAGCAGCCGAGTACCTTAGCCACTAGACCACCACGGCGGGGCGTGAAATTCTGACTAAGAACCGGTGCAGCCATAGGGGACGATGAAAGTGGTGTCGCGAAAGCAAAGCTGCCAAATCCCACAACTACACATCCTATTTGTGACGTCAAAACGATCGCAGCGCTGACCTCTCTAGTGGTGCTGCAGTATCAGCAGCCACATGCCATCCGCTGAAAAACCCGGGCTATCTGACATTATTCAGCAAGAAATACGTTAACGTGCTCTATGAGGGCCGATCTCATAGCCTACATGACACGCTGACTACAAACGATGCCGATTGCATGAACGTGAAAACTCGAACCCTTATCTCGAGAACTATCGGAGAGGTGCATTCGCTCTGGATACTTCAATTTTAATGCTACAGCAATTATATATACCCGACTTTTGCCGTCACCGTTGCCATCATGTTCTCTATATACGTATATGTATGCATGTATATAAAAGCCATAAATAAAAATATTTTGATGAAAATATTTTTGTTTTGAGCACAAAGAAATTTGAATCTGCGATCGTCGGCAGAATGCAACAGCACGTGACATTGGTTGAAAGCCACATGATACTACGTGGGGAGAAATTAAAATTATGTGAGACGGGCCATGCGGCATCGTTGCCCGCGTTGCGATAGCGTCTTATCTTCGGTGACTCGCTCTAGTTTTTGATTTTTCGGCGATTTTTTGGCCATGCCACTTGTGGCCAGTGAGACAGACTTGCTATACGATGTGTCCCGCTTTAAAGAGACACGTTTATTACCTTTTCGGTCCCATAGCTCTTCGGCGAGGGTATAATTATTGACAAAAAGAGTTACAGTTTTCTCATAAAAGGAGTCATGTATGTGGGCATGCCAGGACTCGCAGAAAAGAGTGAAAGTATTTTTTAGTAGAATCATTGTCTTGACTAATTACCTCTAATCAGATCAATTGGACACAGTTATTACTTCAACAATCAGTGTTATTTTACTTCTCGGTTTGCTGCTCGGACGAGAATTGTCTTGAACACTCATCATCATGCTACCATACAAATCCGACGACCCTGAATTCTTTCTCTTATCAGTTGTAGCGGAGTGTGGGAAAAATTGCCGTCAAGTCGGCCGTACCTTTACGACAGAAGACTAGGCTTACCAAAGGAATCGGCATGATAATGCTAATTATTACAAGGTTCTATACTTAATCTCCCGTAGTGTTGTGAGCTCTATCCACGATGTACTCGGTATTATCTCTAAGCTTCTGGCCCATACAAGGCCCAATGGGGTCGCTGAACTTGCATGCAGGTAAACAAAATGGTCGAGCCATTGCATGGACTTCAGACGGCGGACTTGCGCAGTCTTGCGGTTGCGAGACCGTGCAAGCGAACCATTTCCAGACATATTGTATGGTAACATTACTGTGTTGTCACCATGATTTAATCACCAGAATCGCTACTCTATTATCGCGAGGCCATTCTAATGAAAAAGAGTGCATCAGCAGCACTGCTATAATTTTGCCTTTGAACTGAGGAAGAGGAAGGACCAAGTACTGATTACTTTTATTTATAAATTATTCGTTTCTTGGCCAATCTCCAATAGTGTGTGTGTGAGCCACGCATGTAGGCCATCATCATCAGCATCATCATCATCGGTGCAGTGGCCTTTCTTGGCCTTCCGTGTGTATAGAGGTATTGCATACAGAGAGAAACCGAAGCGTTGAAGTACATGCGGTGGCTTTGGAGGTGCCACCGGTTCACGGCCGAGTCGCTTCAACGTCTTCTCACGACGTCTATTAGTTTCGCACAATCTGTAAACCGGTGTGTAATGTAAAACCATTGAGAGCGCGGAGTGCAGCTGCAGTGAACGTTCCGAATAGTGGAAGTTGCCGGAACTCTTCCAGGAATCCATTTCGCCCTAAACTTGCGCCTTGTTTGGATTTACCCCACTGTGTAGGCGCACGCGTTGCAACCTCTAAAGAACCGCAGTTGCGTGCGACGTAGCGATATGTCCCCAATATGCCCCGAGATGGGGAAAGGCAGCGCTACGTGAAAGACTGGCCGTGCACCGTATAGTCCGCACGGCCGCCGCGCTGGGAAAAGAGTTACGGCTCCTGTGTTTATGAGCCGACTGGCAGAGCTACAGAAGGAGCACACGAAACGGCTACATTCGGCAATCAGCGGGCAGTGTCCGGCCGCCAGAGGGGCCATTTGAGACCACGCCGGGGCTGTCAGCCTGCGGGATAATGCGGTAGACCTCCGTCGGTGAGCCCGTTGACGTGCGCGGCGTTTCCGTTTCTTGAATAACGCCGTTCGACCGGCTGATCAGAGCTCCAGGTGTCGTTCGTATAGCACCCCCGCGTTGTTTCGAATCTACTGTTCCTCTTTCTTTTTTTTTTTCTTTTCTTCCGTGGGCTTGTTTCTCGGCAGATTTCGTGGCAGTTTTCGTGTGAAACGTGGCTGCTGCGATCACTGCATTGAATTCTCTGAAGCAAAAGCCATTGTTCTTTTACTTATGTGGGACTGGCTGAAGTTTGAAAGAAAAAAAAGTTTTTTTTTAACTAGTTACGGCTGGATCACGCGGATTTCTCGTATGCGGAGGCAATAGCGTTTTCCCGCAGGCTACTGAGATTTATTTTTTTTTGTTTTTGCCCCTTCTAGTAAGCGCCCATCATCACATCCATTGTGATGGCCTATTGAATGGAAGTTTGATCTGAGGAAGTGAATGAATAGACATACACGATAGAGCGCAACAAAACAATAATGGAATGTTTAAGTAAGAAGAAAATTCACTGTCCATTCGAAAGACTGTGAAAGGAAAAGGAGATCTGGATATTCTGTCAAGCAAAGTCTGAAAAAACTTGCTCGTGTAAAGCCGCTTTACTGTCATTTTCTGAAGAAGATTATATTCTCGCTCAACGCTAGGCAAATGCTTCGCAAGGAGCAACAACAACAACAAAAAAAAAAAACCTCTTAAAAGTCTTTTCTCTTGCTTTCATATTTCATTTTGGCTTTACAAATGTTTTATTTTTTTCTGTTCTGATTTATGTATTGGCCCGAGATATCACAACACTGCGGTGATTTATAGACGAATGTGTTCGTCCGGACGTGACTTTTTCTTGCAGGAGTACACCATTGTTTTTGACGCTGGAGAACTGAACTGTTTATCGGTAAGTGTGTTCGAGTATATATTAGCAATGACGATATTCCTTTTTCTCTTTTCTGGAGGTCAACAATGCACTTAAGACACGTCTGCAAAGGCCTTCTCGACTTCACATAAAAACCGACGCCGAGCCTTGTCTGTCACTCTCATCGGTCATCCTCACCAACCCTTCAGAGCCGGGACGATGGGTCGCCTTCACTGAATCCGGACCTCCACCAAAAGGTAAGGCTCTTCAATGCCCACTTCATTCAACGTCGAGTCCGTGGCAACCTTGAAAGTCGTGCATGACGACTGCATTTCAACGGTTCAGTTGTCAGTGCAAGTAATTGTGCTAGGCGAAGCCCAACTTCGCTTCAAGCGCTTTAAAGCATGAGGCCGAAGCTTCAGAAATGTTCGCCCTGCAGTTGGTCGACCTTGGTTACAGGACACGAAGCACATTTTGTCCAATGCGAACATTGGGTTAACGAGCGTTGGTCACACTACGAGGGAATGTTCCTATTTTTATTTTATTTTTGGTTTTTGTTTATGCCTGCCTACTGGAGCCCATGCGCACATAAAACCGATTTCGTATCGGTAGTTAAATGAATCACAGTGTGTCAGCACATCATGCCAAGAGCATGGTATCAACGCGTTTTTGAGGCAGAAAAAGATGCAGGCAGAGAAGTCCTGGTGTTCGCTTGAATTACGTACTGTCACGAAACTCTCTTGCAACAGTATAGGCAAATCCTACAAACCTTTATGATTGCGAAAAATCGGAGCTGACCTTACAGACGATTGAATCTAATAAATGGCAGAGGTGCCTATAAGCCTCTGCTCAGTCATTCAAGACGATACGAAATTTCGCATATCGCACAATTTACCAGCATTGCAACCATTACAACTTGGGACCCGGTTGCCTAAGAACAAGATTGCGTACATGCTGTTCTTTGTGTCGGCGTTTCGAACTCCTAAATCACCAGAAACTCAATAAAATGCGGAAAATGGACTCTTGTAATTCTTTTTTTTTAAAGGGAGTTTGTTGTGGCTTACTTGTGCTAACAATGAGCCATTGCTTTTTGTTCAAGGTACTTAAACGCATGGCGGATGCAGAGGAGGGGGGGTGTGCGGACGTGCTGACACCCCTCTCTCCCTTTCACTTTTTTAATGTTTATATAAATGCGGGTGTAGATGCCCCATTCTTCACTTTAGTTATCCCGCAAAACTACCGTGGACCCTACGTAGTAACAATGGTGTGTGCAGTGATGACACAGATACACGGATACCACTCACAGTCACTGACACACACACGCGAAACAGAAGGGAAGTGGATCGACGTTGTATACCTATAGTTACGAAGTATAAGTGAATCAATACACGCATGCATTCGGGGATCACGGAGAAAAGTCCCATACGAGAGCTGAATTCAGGACGTGAGCGGCGTGTCACTTTGAACGCACTTTGTGAAAGCCCTTCATTTTCGACCGACGTGTTTCAGGGGTGTAGTACTCGACGAAGGCATGGCGCACGTAAATCACAAACGTGTTCTCCCGGCCGTCGGGTGGGTGCGCGTGCAAGCAGGCGGATGCAGCAGCGTGTTCTTCCTTTGAAGAGAGGCTCGGCCACGGCGGCGCGATGCTACCGGCGACAGCTGCTTTGGCGATCAGAATGACCCGCAAATGCGCAATAAAGGTCCGGCCAATGCTCGTTAGTTGTGACAAACGACCCTCGCGAAACCGCCGTGTCTTGCATACTTCAGTGTCTTTGTGGGTTCCCAATACGTGACACCCGTGTCAGGTGGTGACGGCACCTTCTTACGCGGGTGCCACATAAGTCTCACGCCCTTCGTGTTTTTCAGGGGGCGAAGCACGTTAAGAGCGCACAATGTCCGTATGTCCATGAAGCGCCGCCCGGCGTCTGCAGCAGATGTAGAAACTTATACATCCGAGAACAGCAAAAAATGTTATCAAAAGACTGTTAACCAACAGAAACAAAATAAAAGGTCAAAACACAGGAAAAACACTAACAATTCCCCACCTATGAATCAAAGCATATCACAGAACAAAAGGTTAACAAAAACAAAATAAAAGGCTGTTAACCAGGACAAAATAAAAGACCACGATTCATGACCAAATGCACACTGCTTCACCCCATAGATCGCATTCATTTTTTAGATGTGTGAAGATTTTCATGATCGCCGAATATGCTGGGCTTTCACCCACGGGACGGCTCTATGCTCTCCCATTGTAGAGTACTTAGTACTCTGAATCGTTAACCACTCTTTCAAACCACTCCCATAGTAGAGTACTATATATGTACTCTATAAATCGTTAAACACTTTTTCTAAACAGATAGCGTTTCATGCTGCTGTGGAGAATAGTGATGTGAAGCGTAGCCACGGGACGGCTTTAAGCTCTCTCATAGTATAGTAACTATAGTACTCTAAATCGTTACACACTTTTTCTAAACACACGTTACAACGATGAAGGGACGGCTTTCAGCTCTCCCACAGCAGAGTACCGAGTACTCTACATCGTTAAAATTTTTTTTCTAAATACTCTATGTGGTCTTAACTTTTTCTGAGACACTGTTTGGGCGCGAGTGTGAATGGCGTTACTAATGCGCTTACACCGTGCCTGGGCAGTTACGCACAACTATTTACAGATAGATGAATGGAGAAAGACAAAAGAGAAACCAAGGGGAGAGGCAGGGAGGTTGAACGAGCTTTGGCTCGGTTGGCTAATCTATACGTGGGAGGGGGGGGAGAAAAGTGAGTATTCTCCTTCTTCCCTCCTTGCCTCATCACTCCTCGTTGTACTGGGGCTTTATCGTTCACCCAAATCTGAGCGTGCACCGAAATCTGAGCACGCAGGCTTACAGCATTTTCGCCTTCATCGAAAATGCAGCCGCCACCCGCGGGATTAGAACCCGCGACCTGCGGGTCCGCGGCCGAGTACCTTAGCCACTATAGACCACTGCGGCGGGGCTCTCATTCACTCCGCTATATCCTCCCAAACGTCTTCACTTTCCCTCTCACATGATGGACTCGATAGTGCGGCTTGCCTAATTTCTGTGGCGCATACCAGGCCGTGTCTTTGCAGTTGCTACGCGAAGTTATGCCATGCTTAAACAATTAGGCTGCTGAAAAAACAACAAAACAAAACAAAAAGCACTGATTATTCGATAAAAGCAATGACAGTCTGCAGTGTATTAAAAAAAAACCACGTGCTCGTTCATTCCGCACTGCGCGTCTACTGGGTGACGTATTCATCACTGCCTCCTAGCGTACCGGATCCATCATATGTTATGATGACATTAATTGTACCTGAAAAGAAAACATGCTACTTCAAAAGGAGCACGCGGCGGCTTTCCATACCTGTCTACATAAAAGCCGGAAAAACATACTTGGCGTGTTCAACTAGACCATTGCTGTTAAGACAAAAATGAATGCATAAAATAAAAGATTAAAAATATCACTTACATTGTGAAAAAAAAAGAAATAGCGGGGAATATCTCAAAGAAGTATAACGTGCGGCGTATTTAGTGGATTATAATAGAGGAATGACAGTACATATGCGTTATTTATTACATTGTAATAATATCGAATAGGCAACATAAACTATAGCACTGACCAGCACTAGCCAAAAGTTCACGAATAATCACCACGGCTGATAAGCGGCGCACGACACGACATTTAGGTTACGTGATGCGTATTTTAACGTGCGAGGAAAATAAATAAATAAAAAAACGCTTAGGCGTCTTATCGGTAACGTGGTTCGTATCGTTACCCGCACGACACGCACGTCATGCCACGTCATTCATGTTATGTCGAACCTGCATGCCATGTCATGCGCATTCCGGTATCTAACCAATGAGAAACGACCACGACGTCATCATGATGCAGCAAGATGGACGCTTGGATGAATGGGCCTTTTTTCCAACACGTGACTGGGGCAAAGTGTTTCATGAAGTTCGTGACAGACATTCGTGTCGAGACGTGTCAGTTATGTTCCTCATCCACTCATGCCCTCATATGCCAATTTCGATGTACACTAAGTTAAGAAAACCACCAGCAGAACTCACCCCCGTATTCACAAACGCTCCTCGACTCGACTTTCACCCTTCACTTGACACAGTTGAGCACTGCGCCGCTGCTCGGCTGAAATTGACGCGGCGCTGCTCGAGAATCACACCACATTATCGTTGGTATGCAGTGGCTTGCCCTGCCTAGAGAGGGCGCTTCCATCGGATTTCTCAAGTGAAGGTGAAGCGTTGAGTGAAGGGACGTTTTAGAATACGGGGGTCAGTGTCGTAGGTGGCTAGCTAGCTAGCTTGCTGCAGCTTAGCCCTATGGCTATCGATAAATAAATAGATAGATAGATAGATAGATAGATAGATAGATAGATAGATAGATAGATAGATAGATAGATAGATAGATAGATGCACTTACAGTGCCTTTGGCTCACCGAACTATCATTTACATTTCAAGCAAAACAATGCGTTTCGTCAGAGTCGCGCGACCACGACGCCTTTGCGTCGCAGTCGCCGTTCTCTACCTCCTCGTCGTCCTCGCCTCAGACAGAAAGCAGCAGCGTCGGTTGATCCCCGTGCAGCTGCCGGGCTCACCGGCGAGCGTCAAAGTAATCATGAGACCGAAGATGGTCGATCGGCAGCTGGGCATGTGGGTGGCGTGGAGGAGAGACTCGCGTGCCTCGCGGACGGCCGTATTTTTCTCGCGTCTTGAAGCCGCGCTCGCGACCCATCAGCCCTCCGCCGCAACCCCGAGCGAGTGAGGAGGCGCACACAGCGAAGCAGCACACCCCGGAGAGCCTTATAAAGGAGGATCGACCTCCCGACTCCAGGACAACGGGGGACGTCGCCTCTTCGCAAAAGGTAGGTGAGTCTATATTTCGCTTCCTTTAACAGAGGGGGAAAAGGAGAGAGAAAAAAAAAAGGTCAACTGGATAGCGTTTCTCAGAGATGAGGACAGAGAAGATCCATCGGTCTGCACCGCACCTGATGTTGATGGGATGGAGGCCTAACCTTAGCTTGAAACGTAGCCGAGTCAATTGATGGTCGACAAGTAGGCCACCATACTCACCTATAGCTGCAGGAATGGCTTGCGGGGTAGGAGCTGGTACGTGAGAAAGTGGCGCAGCGAGGAGGAAGAAAAGAAAGAAAGATAGCAGACTGCCACTTGTAGAGCTGTGAATGAATAGCTTAAAAAACTATAGAACAGTTGGGGGATGTCACGCTAATTTGTCAGCTTAGCAAATTAAAGCGTAAGCAGCGTCAGAGTCGTGTCATGATGAAACGCGAGGAAAAGCTAATGGCGTTTGAACGTAGCCGCCATGTAGTGTCGATTGTTCTTGAATGCGTGAAAAGACAATTGACGCTGAACTGGCAGTGAATGATGGAAGGTTTTTCGGTCATAGTTGTATCTGACGTCGGGACACGCTAATCCTGAAGAAGTTGTGGGCCAGGTTATTTCGCCAGAACTGTCAAGAGACTAAGAAAGGAAAGCAGTGCAGGTGTTATCAACTCATGTGATTCGCATCCCGTATACTCGACGATGAAGATGCGGATGACCCGAGCTCTCTGACTCCAGCGGACCGCATTCAGAATTCAGTGACGGCCGAACGCGGCACTTACTCCGTTATAATGCGCGCACCATTCACTGAGCAAGAAGAGCCGCCAGAAGACATTTAGTGTGTCATGCGTCGCTCCGCTTAACAACCTGTCAACCAGCTTAGCTCCCGCTAGCAGCGAATCGGGAAAGGGTAGGTACAGACGCGGGCTTCTCGTTTGTTTGCTCACCGACATAAATCTTCGCCGAATCGAATGTGCCGCGTTAGGAAAGCGCTGCTGTCGCGTCAGGCGGCGTGTCGTGTCACTGGAAGGTTGAACCAGCGTAGCAGGAGGAAGCAGAGGGTAGCAAGCAGGGGTGGGTGGGCCGTTCGAAAGCCTTCGTGGAAGCCGTAAAGTGTCGCCCCCTCTTTGATGGCGTTTGAGCCGGGGAAAGCTCGAGCGCTCGCGGACCCTTCCGAGATCGAAGTTGGGAGAGGGGCCCCAGGATTTGCCGTCGCCGCGCGCCGACGTCTCCAGGCGGAGTTCATTAGAGCGACCATTGAACGGGGGCAACTGCCGGGAAGCTGTCATGCCTGCTTGGCCATATATTTGCGGGCCGTTGGCCGATAAATAAAAGCGAGCGTGATAAAAGGGAACCCTTTCGGACAAGCCACTCCCTACTATAGGCGAGCCACCGGAGCTTCCGGCCCGAGCCGTCGGCTTTGCGTGCAGCAGAAGCGGCAGCCACGCCCTGGTCTCCGCGGCCTCAAGCCGCCGACTTCGGGTTGGGGCCTCCGCAGACAACCGCGAACGGAGCGCCGAGCTTAGCGTGAGTACGGGACGCGGCTTCCGGAAGCAGGTGCAACCGCGTGCCGGATAATTGGACGTGCAAGATACCTAACGGCAGTGGTGTACTACGGCTGTCAGGCTCGTCGAGCAGTGAATGCGCTCTTTTGAGCTCGGGCTCTCAACTGCTTTACAAGGCGCGCTGTGACGCGTGGTAGACATCTAGAGGGTGAAGGGGAGTTCCTAGCGAGTAGCTGAGGTGGTGTATCCGAACTGCTTCATGGCCCGATGCTGACTAAGACTTGCTCGGTGGCAGTAAAAGGTGACAAGAAACGGTTGTGGTCCTTATTGACGAAATTATGATCTTCCAGTAAATCACTGAACAGCTGGTTTTAGCATGCTTTAGTGGTCCTATGGGGGAATGCTAACTTATTGTTACGACCAAATGCTATTGAGATAAATGCGAGAATGAGCAAAGTAAACGAAAAAAGCTGCAGTCCTGTGTTCAAGCTATAGGACATTAACAGATATGGAAAACTAGCTGCACCTAAAAACAAATTTTTGAGAAGTCGTAATTATTGCGCCACCACATCTAAAATTAGTAGAGTTAAAGGAATACGTTTTTTTATGTTTTTGGGTGTGTGGGTAGTCGAATTGAGGGGTTTGGGGGTCCGTGGGCTCCTCACGTGAATTTAAAGCCATGCAAGATGGTCGTGGCGCGCGTAACTTACGTGCATGTAATAAGTGGTGCAGTCTGACGCCGTTGAGAGTGTTTTCAAGCAAGCTCAAAGACCAAATATTTGTAAGTCATGTAAAGCAAAAAATGAGGGTTTTGACTCCCTGGTCATTCGATGGATAGTGTATTGTCACTACTTTTGAACGTGCTAAGACGCGCTGGTACTATAACGCATAATTTGTTTTTCCAGTGTTGTCATCTCACTACTAAGATGGAGCAGCAAATGATTTTATATAGATGTAATTTTGTAACTTACACCTCTTGGACGTGATCTAAGGTAATATTAGTCGGAATCATGCTGTAAAGGCAAGTAGAGGGAGTGCAGCGCGCCAAATTATTGATTAACATACCTTAGTTTCGAAGCCAGGACGTAGCCCGTTATGTCGCACGGTCGTGTTCATATAATTCACGGCTTTACCGGCCCTGCACAATTCTTTTCTCTTTAAGAAATGGTTTAACAGTGCCAATATAAATATCAACAGCGTGCAGCGTCATTAAATTCTAGTTAAGGAGAGAAATGCGGAGTTGCGACTCGAGAAACCAAACGAGTAGCAACGCTAAAATGGCTTTACCATGACGATAGTTTTAGCACGAGAACAGAACGACGACAAAGAGACAAAAAGGACATTCGTGTCCTTCTTGTCTCTTTGTCGTCGTTCTGTTCTCGCGCTAAAACTATCGTCTTGCCATATACCAACTAGCCCAAGCTGCCACACTTCTAAGGCTTTACCATGGCTTTCATTGAGAGCGTCTGCTCGTATGCTTGAAACGTTCTAGAGAACATGCGCGAAAACTGAAAATTTGCGATTGCCGCCGAGTCGTGTCTTTGGCAGAATTTGTGAAGACAAATGCCGGCTACCGCGAGTAACGTCAGTGACCCTTCCGCTTTTTCTTGCAGTGAACGGTGAGGCGCGGCTCCTATGCCCGACCAGCACCGTCGTTCGCAAGACGAAAATGCTGGCCCGCCTGCTGCCACACGTGCTGCTGGTGCTGTGGGCAGCCAGTGAAAGCGGCCACTGCAATGTGGCTTGCCCGGCGTACTGCGTCAATTCGTTTGCCGTGTTCAAGCCCGGAGATGGGCAGATCAGTTGGATCAAAGGTCGGGATGCTTCGAGCTTCATGCAGATCGTACAGACGGTGCTGAATGCCGGGCCGTCCTCGAGCACCGTCACGATACGCATCGAAGGCGTCGACGTCTCGGTGCCTTCGAACTCGAAGCCCATGATATTGGAAATACTGAAGAGGCACCCGGACATGGCACAGATTATCATCAACTTTCTGCAGAACAGGCCTTTGCGTCCGTCGGGAATGCCGTACGGCAGAGGCACTGCAGGTACGAATTACATCACGCCGCCATTCAATCCCGGCAGCCCTGGAGAATTCGGGGCGATCCCTCATCCAGGCCCACACGGCGTACCTCAATTACCTGGTAACCCTTCGGGGCCGATCATGTTTCCGAGTGACATACATCCGTTACCCGGAGAGCCCGGGTTTGTGAATGATGAGATAACAGTAGAGCCTGAATTACACAACATTCCGGACTTGTCTCATATTCCACCAGGGCCAGAAATCTTTCCATACGAGCCTCCCGACTTTATGAAACCCATCCCATTTCCCACCTTTTCTCAGTCGGTGCCACCGGACATTTTGTCTTATCTCGAGCTCCTCGTCAAAAATCCTGACTTCTTTATTCCCATTTACAACATCCTCATCAAAAGGGGTGTCCGATTTCCCGACCTTACGAGGCCTTTCAAATATGTCATAATCGACGGCAAGCACGTCAACCTTCCCGGCGTCGTCAGGGCTGTCTTCACGATACGAATAAACGGTCAGCAGTTCGTGCTGCCTAGGGATGCTCCTAGGTTGGCGACATTCATCACTCAGAATCCGAGCCAGATGACCACCATCGTTATGATCTTACGTCAGCTCGGCGCAGTTGTGACGACAAGCCCATCAGGCCAGATTACTGGTTTCGTTTTGCTTGGCAGGAGATATCCTCTGACAAACCCCGTGAAGACGCAAGTCGTCGTCAACGGCCGCCGATTTTTCTTGCCACAGGACCTTACGTCCCTGATTAGCTTTGTGCAGAGCAATCCGCAGACGTTCCATCAAGTTCTGCCAATTCTCATTACCATGGGCGCTCGCATCCAGAAATCTCCTACCGGAGAGATCACAATGATCGTCATTGGCGGCCGAAACTTTCCGGTGCGCTCAGTGGCACCGGTGCGCGTCGTTATTCACGGACAGACGTTCACGATTCCCGCTGACCTCGATGTCATACTGAAGCAGCCCGGCAACATCGGCGTTGGCGAACTCATCGCTGCGCTTCAAAAGTTACGAATCCCGGTGAAGGTGGACCCGACCACGGGAAACGTTATCGGCATTGTCATGGACGGCGTGCCTATCCCATTCCCCGTCATTGTTCGCTTGCGCGTCAACCTCGGAGGGCGAGTCTACAAAATACCGAGCGATCTTCCCGCCATCGTCACCTACTTGCAGCAGCACGGCATGCCAGCCCGAGTCCTGGCGTACCTATACAGCCAGTTCGGTATCATTCCAGTGCGAGACAGCAACAACGTCGTGATCGCGATATCGTTCAACAACCAACAGTGCCCTGTGCCGCGTCAGTCGGAAACAGTAATCACTATTGGAGGCAGTCGCTTCACGCTGCCCAGGGACGCACCAAAGTTAATGAAGATGCTGCTAATTCACAGAATTTCAATCGAGCAGTTCCTGGTCGTCATTCAGCAGGCTGGCTACAAGCTCATACCGGGTCCCGACTGCGTTCTTCACACCATCCAAAAGGGATTTGACGTGATAGAATTGCCGGTGAATATTCGTCTCATTGTGAACATCAACGGTGTGCGTTACAGGTTGCCGCAAGACCTACCTCGAATTGTTCAAGTCTGCCAGACTATAAGAAATCCCAGCGCAATCGAGCAAATTTTGATTAGCCTCAGAAAGATGGGAGTGATTGTGCAGCGCGGCGCAACTCAGATCACGCTTATATTCAACGGCCAGCGCTTCTCCATTACGTTATCTCCCGGTGGCCGGCCGCCCGGCGGAGATGTGCAAGTGCCCCCAACTGGAACGATGACCATTCGCGTCAGTATCAACGGCCGCTGGTTCACACTTCCTGACCAGATCCCGGACATGATGGACTTCGTGCGCTCCAACGGGCCGATGACAATTCAGCTTCTTATTAGGACGCTGCGCTCGCAAGGCATCACCGTCAACTTGACGCCAGATGGTGGTGACATCGCATCAATAATAATTCATGGTCAACTCTATATCGTGAAGGGAAGCAGTTGGGTGCCCTCTGGCCCTGGGGGTGGCATAAGCGACGGCAGGAACGTGCAGGTCATCATCCGGGGTCGGACATTTATGATTCCTCGGGACATCGGCATCCTTCGGCGGTCGCTGCCGGGGTTCCAGTACGGCGAACTCATAGTGGCTCTGCATCGCGTCGGGGCTATGCTCGAAGTTGACCAGCGGGGTAACTTCTACGGCATGCGGATACAAGGCCGGCTCATCAAGTTCTCCGTCATCTTCCGGGTGAACGTGATGCTGGACAAGAGTGGTCACAAGTACCGCGTGCCACTCGACCTCGCCGAGCTGGCTCAAGGACTGTCCACCGGTCGCAATTGGAACTGGACGATTGTCCGCAAAGTGCTGTACAACTCGGGCATCGAGTTGCGTGGAGGCTCCGTAGGGGCTCCTCGTGCCATCGGATTCCAGGGCAAGTTCTACGAACTGCGCAGCATGGTCAAAGGATAGACAGGCTTTCCCACCCCATCTCTTGCGTCAGAAATTCACGCATTAATTATAAGTGCAATGCTACCGATTTTTCTTCGAGTTCGTGGCAAAACGGCGCATACTTCGCGCCCTGTTAATAAATAAAACGCACACTCTGCTTAGACTTTTCCACGCAGTGTCTCATGAGCTGCAGCGTGGCGCTGTTGGGACACATGGCAAAGCAACACTTTCGCGAATCTCGCCGTCATGTCAGTGACTTCACGACATGATGCAGATATGTAGTGTTGTCGCATGGAAAGAAAGTGAACGTTGAACGATACAAATAATAAAAGAAAACAAATCACTTCTTTTCATTTCTTGCTTTTTTTTCGGACGAAAGATGGCTGCGACTGGCCTCGTCAAAAATTTTCGTCTGCTTGTTCTTTCTTCGTAGCTTGCCAAACTACCGGTACATTAGTAAACCGTAATGCAGCCACTATTCTACACGCTGATCTATACGTTACTCATCTCTATTACACAGCTGTTGCTACAAACAGTTACTCGCGCGATTCTCCCTGGTGTGGGCCTGCAGAATATGCGATAGTTTTGATACCACCACACTTTATACAATATTTATTCTGGGAAGTGATAGTCTTGGCTGTCAATAATCGGCGTTCTGACAATTTTCGACAATCGGGCACTGTTCAAGCACACGCCCGATTCAAGTAAACATTACACACACTTTGCTTGCGGTTCTCTTGGTGACATTGGACAAAGTTGTGATTTTCGGTCCATGGTGTGTGTGTTCGTGAGTGATGAAACGTGAATCAGTGTGTGTTTGTACGTACGTGCATGGCGGGCCTTGCAAATACGGGAAAACCAGGGCATTGTATACTTGACATTGTCGTGTCAATGCACGAAAACTCGGAAATACAGTTCTTTAGATTAAGTGTCACGCGTTCAAAGGACGTGGCCTAGCGAAACGCGCATCTTACACGGGATGTTCGGTGGGGCACTATGAATGAAATTACAGCGCTTATTGCGTTCGATCATTTGTCATCCCCTGCCATATCTGACGAACAAGGCAATTAGTGAAAGAGAAAAGAACAAACACCTCCGTAACACCAACCGTAATTTGATGAACAATACGAGCGCGTTTCTGTTAACTCAAGGAACCTGTGGTGCCAGCAATTTTCGGTGACGTTGGAGTGACACATAACGTCAAATGTCGGCACTCGCTGCTTGTGTTGGGACGATGAGAGGCAAAAATTGTGACGCCTTAAATTAAGGCATAACCACCGCAGTATACTCAACTTCGCTAAGCATTTGAGTGTACTGCGGTGCTGCAGATGTACACTCGGCTGTGCCAAGCAAATGAACGTACACCAGAAGTTGCAGTTACGCTCTAATTCCCTCATCAAATTTCAACGTTGGAGCATTTTTTCTGAAGCAGACACCTCCATCAGCTATAACCCTTATGAATCGAGGTCACATCAATATAGTAAGAACAGCATTGAATTTCTCTTCGCGTACCACAGAAACATGCGTACATATGCTCACAGAAGTCGAGAGAAGCAACGCTTTCTTCAGCTGAAGGCGCCGAAACGCTGAGCGCATTTAGTGTTTTCGTTATTGGCTCCGACTAAGAAGTTTCTGTAGCTGATACGCAGCTTGGGCGGCAGGAAGCGTAGGTACTTGCGATTAGGCCTCGCTCTCGGAGGTGCAAACGGTGTCGGAAAGAACTATCTGTGCTGAAGTTGACGGATTGCAAATATGTGGACGGGACGTACCGAAATCTGCAGCACTCTAATTTCCCAGTCTTTGGCCTTATTGCCACAGCTCCCTGTTCGTTACCACTATTACCTCTCGTGAATTACACCGGTGAAGCGTGCTTACTGATTGATGGCAAGCTGATTTTGTTACTGATACTGCGTATAAATATCGATAACTTGGATTGTTTTCTACAATATTCATTGCATACCGCGGTAAGTGCGACGGCACATCCACCCTTTCTGCTAACTACATGTGGTGTAGGGAGCGGCAACAAGCGTATTCTTATGTGGACAATACAATGCTATGTACTGATGTAAAATGATATATTGAGCACGGTTATGATTGGTGGCCCCAATCGTACTCTCAGTAGGCTTTTGCTTACATTTAATAAAAAGAAGTCTCCGTACCACCGTATTGAAATAGCAGCTTCCCTTTAGGGTGAAAAAGCAAAGCCATTGTTCTCCCCCTTCCACCCTTTCTGCTAACTACATGTGGTGTAGGGAGCGGCCACAAACGTATTCTTATGTGGACAATACAATGCTATGTACTGATGTAAAATGATATATTGAGCACGGTTATGATTGGTGGCCCCAATCGTACTCTCAGTAGGCTTTTGCTTACATTTAATAAAAAGAAGTCTCCGTACCACCGTATTGAAATAGCAGCTTCCCTTTAGGGTGAAAAAGCAAAGCCATTGTTCTCCCCCTTCCACCCTTTCTGCTAACTACATGTGGTGTAGGGAGCGGCCACAAACGTATTCTTATGTGGACAATACAATGCTATGTACTGATGTAAAATGATATATTGAGCACGGTTATGATTGGTGGCCCCAATCGTACTCTCAGTAAGCTTTTGCTTACATTTAATAAAAAGAAGTCTCCGTACCACCGTATTGAAATAGCAGCTTCCCTTTAGGGTGAAAAAGCAAAGCCATTGTTGGTCAAGGGTCTTATTAGTAAGATGAAATGAATGCACATTTCTTTCTGTTTAGTTTACGCACGGAGACATGGGTAGGTAGGCTGCGCTAAAGCCAGCTATCTCAACATCATAATAACGTTGCTGAAAAGCTCACATGTTGCAGCAGCTATCAGCTAATGAACAAGACATAGTAATAACTGACTAGTATTTTTGCGCCGTCTTGAGCAGTACAAAGTAATGCATGCACACACAGCCGTCCTGCGTGCTTGTTATAGGTGCACGTTTACAACCAAATTTTTAACTTCACGGTAAAAAAAAAAAAGAAATTCTAGCGACAATAAAGTGGTCTTGTTTTTCCTTTGATACAAAAATAAAGGTAAGACTACGTGCATTTCTTACGTCGAAATCGATGTGGTGTAAGCTGAGAAACGAACTACATGCTTTTCTTCATTTACGTTTTTTACCTTTAAGAAAGGAGATTCTCCTATTGTCAATTTTAAATAATCAAAAACTTCCGAAGGAGCATAACATTAAGAGAACAGATACATAAAACACGGTGCTTATGTGGTAGGAAATGAAAATAAAGATTACAAAAACACAGAAATCAAGAAAAACACAAATAAAACAAAATACAGAGTACATCAAGAAAATGAAAATCAGAGAAAACTTGGAAGTCGACTGAGATAGCAAAATTAAGGACAATAAAATAAATGCTACGTACAATGACCACAAGGTCTTGATCGGAAACTGCGCTTGATTTAAAATGAAAGGATAAGCGAAACATATGAATAAATTTAAAAGCTAAGTGGTCGTGAATAAAGCACGAGTCGCCGTGTGGTCAGGCTTTATCGTTTAGCATCTGCCGCAAACGGGCCCACAGGCGTCCTGTAATGAAAACATCGTCATAAAATTTTACGTCCCAAAAACACGATGTGATTATGAGAGACGCCATAGGAGATACCTCCGGTATTCTTATTGTCTGGTGTTCCTTAATGGCCACTTAGATCCAAGTACCCACCCCTGAAGCTTTTTCGCCTCCATCGAAATTCATCGGCCACGGCCGGGGCTATACCTTCGGGTCAGCCAGCGAGTACCACAACCACTATAATGTCGTGGCGGGTAATAAAAGTACTTCATCCACGACTTTTCTTAAAGGTCAACTCCAGCGATTTTTCGAGGTCGGTGTATTTGAATGAAATTCGCTGGGTACGTTTCTTTGCACATTTACATCATTTATGTAAAATTACAGGCTTGAGAGATGCGTTAAGCGTTTGCAAATAACTTTCAAAGATCGCCTCGAAAAGCATTCCTCGCTTGCCAGAATTACTGGCAACGCTGTCTGTGTGACGTCATGTTTGGCATGCCAACCGAAGTGACGCAGCCGATGGCATCGCTATATTTCGGCCGCTACAGCGTTTATTATGCTGGCCACAAGGTGACGGTGGTGGCGTTTAACACGGGTATAGCACGGGAAAGCTTTCTTCCTTCCGCTGTGGTGTTAAGCCGTCGCTTCGCTGGTCTGGCTTTCAGTTTTGTACGCGCCGGCAGGACCAGTATACGGCCTCCGGCTCTTACCAAATAGTACGTCATGCGCAGACAGGGCGCCCGGTTGGGTTTCGGTTTCGGTTTCGCACCTTTTTGCTTATTAAAATTATCTTAGAACTTACTAAGCATTTCAGCTATTCTGCTCGTGACAAGAGTGTCGCAGGAACATATAAACACTATACCTTGACATGGTGACACTATGCCTTGACAGGGTAGGTGTTGAGTGTAGCATTTATTGGAGGTGGCTCTTGGGTCGATGACGGCAAGCGCTTGCCAGAGGAAAGACTTCGCGAATCGTACGCCTGATTTTTCAGTGAAATCGCACGTTCTTTCCGAGATTTTTCTCAGCCGCACGTGTACATTTTAGTACACTGGGCGTTCCGAGGATTCGCTACCATCTTATGACACAACTGCGTATACATATCAGTGAGCTCAAGTCCAGCACAAAGTGAAGTGACTGCCCGCGAGTCGTGTTGCGCGCTGTGAACACACGCTCCGTGTACGCGATGTGAGGTTTTGAGAGCGTGCTCTATTTTCTGAGTTCGACAGATGACCTTTGATGAAAACTACAATTTCCCATCTCTATCGCCCACCCTCCTTTTCTCTTTCCTTTGCTCATGTGGAAGTCGATCGAGTTCACTGTTGCTGTACTTATTCGGCATACCTCATACAAAGCAGATTCATCCACCCGACATATTGTGAGTCATGTAGCATTCGTTTGACGGTACAAGAGGACTATCATTTGACAGTCACCAAACGGTACTGAACTCTTTCCCCACATGCTGTCCACCTGCCTATGCCGAGCGACACCTCACCTACGCTAACTCAGCATGTCGATAGCAATGCTAATAAACCTCTACGTGCCAAAACCACGATACGATTACGAGAGAAGCCGTAGGTAGAGGGCCTCTGAAATTTTGTTCATCCGGTGTTGTTTGATGTGCACTGGTGCAGAGTACATGGGCTTTTACCATTTCACCCCACCGAAATGCGACCGCCACTGCCGCGATCGAACCCGGATCAGCAGCCGAGCACCCTAGCCACTGTTCCACCAAGGCGGACTAAGCATGTCGAGTGCCGCGGAGAACAGTTCGACTAAGCAGTCGATCGATCACCGCTCTTGTTCATGTTCTTGT